CTTTGATATAAAGTTCTCTCTCATGCATATGAGTGTCTCTGGATTTGGTTCTCTAGTCTACCCAGACTAACACAGGCAGTGACTACTGTCAATGAGGACTCCTACAGGCGCAGTGGATTAAGCACCAGGCTGCTAATAGAAAGGTTGGGGTTTGAACTCACAAGCTTCTCCCCGAGAGTCCAGTGAGGCAGTAGACACCCTTAAAGCTATGGAAACCCTACAGAGCAGTGCTGCTCAGCCCCGTGGGCCCCTAAGAGTCAAATTTGACTTGATGGCAGTAGGTTTGGTTTGGCCCCAAGGGAATCATTCACCAGAGGAGGACATCCCGTGCCAAGTAGAAAGCCAGCAGCGTGAGGGACCTTCGGTCAGATAGATTGGCGCCTGTGTACCGTACCCGCAGTTGGGAGGAGGAAGCGGAATGCAGCAATGTTTCTTTCCTGTATACGTCACTGCGAGTCAGAGTAGATTCCGTGGCAGCTAACAACTTAGAGAGGCCTTCAAAAAATTCATGGAAAGTGGGATGAAATTTGATGGAATTGTCCCACCAATTATTAGAAGCCCACTGGTATAATGCAGCCATTGGTGGTTCTGTGGTAGCATTCTTGCATTCCTTGCAGAAGACCTGCTAAAAGGACAAACCGATCTGTCTTGGAAGAAGTACGGTCAAGCATGCTCCTTAGAGGCAAGAATGGCAAGACTTTGTCTTCCATACTTTGGTCATACTGTCAGGAGAGGCCAGGCCCTGACAGGAGACACCATGGGAAGGACACCGTGTTGGGTAAAGTGGAGGGGCAGCGAAAAGGAGGAAGGCCCGCAAGGAGATGGACGGACACCAAGGCTGCACCGATGGGCTCGGGCACAGGAACAACGGTGAGGGTGGCGCAGACCGCCAGTCTTTCGTTTCTCATTCTGCTGTGCACAGGGTCGCTGTGGGTTGGAAGCAACTCAGTGGCACCTAACAACAACAACATGCAAGAGCTCTGGGTTGATTCTCAGCCAATGCACCTCTGCATAGCCCTCCCTGCCAGTGGCGCTGTGGTGCTGAACAGGTTCCGGCGGAGTGTAGAGCTCACGAAGGACTAGGAAGAAGGACCTGGCAATCTAGTTCCCAAAAATCAACCAATGGGGACCAGGTGGATCACATAGTCCCCTCCACAAGAGGTGATGGGCAGGGTGCAGGACTGGGCAGCATGTTGCTCAGCTGGGCATGAGGCCAACGTGAGTTGGGGCCAATTCGGTGGCAGCTAGCAACCACTCTCACAGCCATAGTACCAGGCCCTTATCTGATGGACCCTGAGCACCTGTTGCAGGAAACAAAGCTGAGACCTGGGGTGTGGGAAACTGAGGACCGGAAAGAGAGTCCATGGGGGAAAATTCTCTACGCTCCTGTGTAAGAAGCCTGGGAGGCCAGCATGCTGGTGGAGGGAGGCCTTCACGCTTGTGAATTGGAGATGTATCCCACTCACATTCTCCTTCAGTAAAAGCTATTCCCCACAATGCCCCCCCCCAATGATGTCAGTTTTAAGGTGCTGCTTGCAAGCACATGGTTGCTATGATATATCTGCCATCCAAAGAGTCAGACCATCTAACGTTAAGTACAGCCCACTCCCTTCTGATAAGGCTCATAGATTGTTCTTCCCTGGAGAAGACCTTACCTTAACTGTAAGGTCCCTTAACTCTGGAACCCGCCCATCTTGTTACACATGTGCCTTCCTATCATGTGTATGCCTCTAGTACCTCCCCTTCCTATTGCGCGCAGGCACTTCTAGTTCGCCCCCCCTCCTGTTACCTGTATGCCTCTAATACAACCCCCTTCCTGTTGGATATGTGTGTGACATGGCTTGCATGCCTGAGATTATATAAGCTGGTGAGAGAGCATGTGAGTGGGATACATCTCCCATTCCCCACTCACTCTGCTTCCGGCCGCGCCCCCCCCCACCCCCACCCCAGGACCCATTTGGCTGTGGAAGCTGATCCCTCACTGTCCCGAACACAGAGGCAGGCCCCCAGAGACGAGGCGGGGTTTCCGCAGCTCCTTCCTGCGAAGGGGGCAGTTGAGTCCTTTGTCATCCGTTCTTAGTCCGGAAGCTGAAGCCTGTTCACTGTGGGTGACCCTGCTGGCATTCCAAACACCAGAGACGTCCCTTCTAGCATCACAGCAACGCACAGGCCACCACAGTAGGACCAGTGTGGGAAGGGCACAGGCTGGGCAGTGCTTCTTTCTGGTGTGCACAGGGTGCCAACAGGATGGGACCGACTCAATGGCACTAATTTCTTTTTCTTTTCTTTTTCTAAGCCACTCAGACCAATATGTCGATCTGAGGGGTAAGGAATCTGGAGGATTTTTTTTCCCCCCATGAAGAAGTTTTTTTTCATGTTAACACCCCCC